GGAACTTAGGATGTCTCCAGCGACTCGAGTCTTCTCATGCAGTAACTACCCACCATCCAGCCCATGGACCCCGCGACGCTCAGAGATGCATCTGCTCACAGGAAAGACTACAGCTGCATGAATTATCTAGGTCTAGGCTGCTAGGCTCTGGTCAGAGCCAAGCTCCACAATCCAGCAGTTTCAGGCTACTGGCCTTGAACTCCACCTGCTTCTGGAAAAAGTGGTCTCCCACGCTCAATGAAGACAGCTTCGTCAGTGCCTGAACTTGACTTCGGCGACTCAGGGTTTGGATCTAGTGAGCTCCAACTTGCTCTTGCAGGCTACTGGCCTAGGATGGCCCAGGGTGGCTCTGAAGAGTTGAAATTTGAGCGTGGAGTCGTGGGCTCTCACAAGGCATCATAGTGTTTCGACAATTCTGAAACAACGTATGTAGGCACACTTTGTCTACATGAACCTCTCTCAATCCAGCTCTTCCCTTCGCCCCCGCACCTCCTGCGCCAGGCTCGGTCGGCCCAAGGCGTAGTGCGAGTAGGCCAAGACCAGATGGCAAAAGTGGAGGCTGCCTCCGATGCTTTCAATCTGCTGCTGCTCGAACGAGCTGAGTCGTTTGGCAACAGTGCTCGCTCTGGTCGTGCCATGGGTGTGTTTGTGAGTGTTGTCCATGCTTGTGCTTGCTTGAACTCGCAAGCTCTCCGAAGGAGCATAAAGGGAATGTGGTTGCCTCAGCGCCTGCTCCCTTAGCGCGCAGCTGCCACCCAAGATGATCCCTCTAGTCCCACAGGCTCTCGCCTGTTTTCAACCCGGCTGTGGTCAGCTCAGGCTGCAAAGCCTTGGCCCGCCAGGTCTACACCGATATTTTGCGCCTGTTTCTTCCTGGAACTTCGGCACACGTGATGACTTTCCTTACCGCGTAGCAACACCTTCCCCGGCCAGCCGCAAAGCTTCATCCCAGTCTTCTGACTGGCGCATCGCCTCAGGCTTCAACATGCTCCATCACCACTCCCGTATTGCTATGCACTCAACGAGTGTGAGCCCTCGTCAGACGTCGATCCCTGAATCCAAAACCCGTCGCCTCTGCCTGGATGCAAAGGGCTATACACCGACCTGGGCTGACAGCGCTTTCTGTGCCGCATGCTGGGACATCGGAGGCATATTTCTCGATGCAGCGTGAACGAAGTCTTGTAAGTGATTATGCAGCAGGATGCCATAGATATCCAGCTACTGGTTTTGGATGGGGTTGATGCACACAATATGGAAAGCCAAGACGCCATCTGCATCTTCGTGCTTTTGGGCTTCTTCTTGCACCATCTGAAGGAACTCCTGTAACATTCAGAATTCAGCTTCCAATGAAAGTGTGTCTGCCAAGCGCCTCACCAGCCCAGAGTAACACCATCCCCTAACTGCAAGGCCCCCACCGCTCTGGCCTGCAGAGTACGCCAAAATACGCCACAACACGCCGAACTCTCGCAGAAGAACGCACAGCAAAGCAGCAAAGCTTCGCCGATCCCTGCTCTGCTCCTGGGCCGCCTCCGGTTTCATGAAGTTCACTCCCCGGTAGACGCAGGAGATCTGACAGAAACAAACGCAATCAAAACCGGCCGTTCCGGGTTCGTCACTCATGACTATGCTTCCTTCTGAGAAAAGACGAACAGATGTCTCGTCACAGGCTCCGCGCTCCAGTTTTGAGGTGTACGGTCTACGTGTATGTCTTTGGCCGCGGACACGGCACGAGTCTGGAACTTGTGAAGCATGACAGCAATGTACCAAGCCGGCCCCCCAAATGGTCGCCAGGCCTTCTGGTACAGCAGAAGCATCGGGCGCCACCTCTTTTGGCCGGACTGATCAGAGCCGGCCTCTTGAGCACAGAAATGTGCTTGTCAAGCAGCTCGTCGTATGCCGTGTTGGCGGGCACAGGTCGGGGAGCCGATTCTGACGGCTTGCTTAGGGCCTGCTTGACCTCCTAGCAGCATGCCAAGATGTAAATTCTTAAATTGGAGACTGAAGATCCCGAAAAAGAAGTTCTACAGCACCCCGTCCAGTGCTTTGCCTCGTCCTCGTCAGGCTCTGCCTCCAGACTGCCACCTGGTGGCAATCCCCTCAAACACGGCAACAGGATCTGGTGCAAATCAGACCTACATCAAGTCTCGTGACTTCCGTGGCCGTCAATGCGGCAGCTCTATCTCCACATCTCCAGTGCTGCATTCACGAAGGGCCTTCGTCACCTGCTGCTGAGCCTGTAGCAGTCGCCTGCAACTCAGAGGAACTAAAACCGTCAATACAGAACAAAAACACGCGAGTAAGCACCTGCGCTTGTCGATGTGCAGCTTCTGCTTGACGGAGGGACCTTTCGTCGGGGCGCAGGCGACGGTTCTCACATGTCAGCCTAGTCGACATTAGCTTGACCGACATCGCACATAAGCAATTCTCAGAGCGCGTCATACGATCAAGCGGTGACCACTTTTTCTTCTCCTGGTCAACATCTCGCAGAATAGCCCTGAGTGCATCAGAACATGTTGCTGGCGTCTCGACGCGTGTTGCTTGACTCTGCTGTTCCAACGGTGCTGCATGACAGTCAGAAGGCCTTGACGGCCGAAACCTTTCGAAACCTACCCTCAACCCGCGAAGCACTTGGCGTTGTCGGCATGCCTCGCGATAAGACCGACATAGGGCCAACCTCGTTGCTCACTAGAAACTGCGATTGACATGGGATGATAAACCTGTCCGACCAGATTGAGCATGCGAGGTGCTGCAAGACGTGTCAGAGGTATGGCACCATACACACGACAGGCTGGTGCCCTTGATGAAAAAGCCAAGGCCACTAGCTAACTGCTGGACCTCCTTGCCTGCTACGAAGGAGTCCACATGCACATAAAATCTTGGCTGCCCACATCTCAACAGCACGCTCCTTGGTCAGTGCAGCTTGTCAGCTGTAGTGTTGTCGGCAAGAAGTGCTGGAAGCCAGTTAGCATGACATGAATCTTCAAGAACTGCAGCCGCGCGAGGCCGAGCAACTCAGGTTCCGACTTCGCATCCGGCGCGAGTATAGCAAAGGTGCGAGTTCAAGCTCAAGGATGGACACAAAGCTCGCCTGTGGCACATGTGACAAGACCGTGCAAGACAGTCTCTTGTAGCTGCGGACTATGTGTGGATGCAGGATTCGGGTTGGAAACTTAGGCAATCCGGAGGCGTTGCGAAGTACCCCGCCTTCCCACAGAACGGTAAACTTCCACCGCGTCCCTCGCAGCATAGTTGGCACAGGCGAACAAAACAACTGATGACTTTCTGGAAAGAAGTATCTTTTTGAAAACTATCACAGCCTGACCATCTTGGCTGGAAGTGATGAACTGGCAGCCACATCTCAGACCGTTGGCATGGGCAAATATCATCGATCGACACAAGCTAAAGTCACGGTGAAGCCCGGATTTGTAATGGTCGGTCATGCTTGAGGCCAACGCGAAAATGCATCACCAGCGTCTTTCCATCGAAAGAGGCTCAGCAAGAACCTTAAACACATCAAGTCTGGCGTGCAAAATTCGACTCCTGCTGCAATATTACAAACTCACACTGCGAGTCTGTGTGCAAGTCTGTTGGGAAACTAGATTCGTTTACGCCGAACCCTGCATCAACTGCGTTTCGCAGCATGTTCGTGTTGGCAGGGCTTGCATGAGCCTTTAACTCCCCCAACTTCATGGACGATAAAACCTCCGTGGGATGTGCATTGACCTCCCGTGCCTGTTGATTCCACATCAAGATTCGGCAGTGAAAGTTCTGAACATAGAGAGCTTATGGGCGTTGCTTCGTTGGCAATTTACTGGCAATCTAAGATTGATATGATGGCAATCATGGCAATCTGGCTCCTTCCAATTTGCCTCTCGTTGGAATGGTGACAGGGTTGGAGAAACTCGGGGACTGCCCAAGCTGACCTTTGCTTGATCCTTGTTTTCATGGTCAGGGCACGGATTCTCCGACCAACGGATGCAATGGTGGCTTAAGGTATGGATTCTCTGCGAAGAACGCAGATGGTGTTCAATGCACCCCACGAACGTGCAACCCTGAAGCTTCTTCCTTCATGCAACCGAAGCAACCTCGAACATTCTGCACACAGACCCTGGGATATCGCTCTTGGCTGGGCCCTGCGACGTGGCCCGCCGGACATTCACAAGGAAAAGGAATGCCGGGAGGTTCTGAACAGAGGCTCCTAAGTCAGCGCTAAGCTCAACAAGCTCCAGACATACACAGCGCATCACCGCTTGGGCAAGAATGGACGATTCAATTTGCACTTGGGTCCATGCTAATCTCATCCAGCTCAGCAATGGCACCTGTCATCCACATAGCTGCTGATGCCGGTCCAAGGAAGCGTGGAGAGCTTTTGCACTGCTCTCGCGATCCTTTTACAAATGCACGTGGGTGAGGTAGTGCGCTTTGCGCGCTTGCAATAAAGCTGGAGCCTAAACCTATGAGATCTTGCAGGTGAAGGATCTGCCACGCATCATTGTGAGTCGTGTATCTCATCGGCGCGTGCGCGGGCCGGTCCTTCGCCCCGTGCTGGAGCCTACGGAGGAGTTAAATGGCCCTTCGCAAGGCAGCTGACGCAGAAGTTCTCTGTCGTCCCCACAGGTCGCCACTTTCAAAAAGCACCACTTAGACTTAGACTTAGACTTCCATGTCAGCTAGGAAAAGCAACAAAAAAAAAGCAACGCAAACGGCCCATTGGGCCTGATGAGTCGTAAGCTGCACCAATTTGTGTGTCAGCTTCGGGCCAAGGCTTCGCTGGCCTTGCTCTTGTTCTGGCCCAGAGGATTCCCCGAGTCTGTGCAAGCTTCTGTTCGTGACCTGCCTGTGCTCCTGCAGTTGCCGTGGCCACCTCACATGTCGGATGTAAGCAGACAAGCATGCAGAAAGCATGCGGAAAGAGCTGCGGAGCTGCAGAGCTTGCACAAACAGGCTGTTCCCGGCTCTGTCTCTTCTGGGGTCGGCTCCGACTCGGCTCGAGACGCGCTTCAGCTGACCGGACAAGAGGGCTCGTCCATGCCGCGCATTACCATTTCGAGGGCTCTCCTGCACGCATGCAGACGGAACACAGCTCCCCAAGACCTCTCAAAATGAAGCATCCGCCCGAAACACTACGGCGAGCTGAAAAACTGGACATGAGGAGACGACAATCGCCCAGGCACTGGTGCATGCCCTCGACGCCGCCCGCTGCAGAAAGCGAGATCTGCATCCCAGGAAGGCCGGGGATGAAGATGCGGCTTACCTGGGTGCATCAGTGAATCACTCCTTGCTCCTTCGAGCAGCCCGCAGCTTAGAGTAGCTGGACATTCAGGCGACCGAGGTTATCTGCTTCAGCTCGGGCAGAGCCTCCACCTGACGCAACTCATCACAACTGTCTCTTCCCCCGCACAGAGCCCAAATGCATGTTGGGTCGTCTTCCGTTCAGCATGTTCCAGTCATTGGGCTAACATCGAACATCACACTCCAAGAGATGAATCCGTTCAGGATAAAACTGCTAAGACGACTGAGCTTCGGCCAGAGATTCTTCTGAATGGTTTGATGAGATCCTACAACGCGCACCAAATTTGGGGCGAGAGATTCTCACGGCCATGTCGCCAAATTCCACTCATCGTCATAAGAGATGTCCTTACGAAAACAAGCGACCTTGTTTGTCTTCATCGTGCCGGCATGGATGCGGCGGCTGTGCATGTGCCGGTAGCAAGGACACCATCATCACATGCAGGCATGGATGCGGCGATAGTGGATGTGCTGGTATTATGGACGCTATCATCATGCGGACCTGGATGCGGCGACAGCGGAGGTGCTGGTAGCATTGACGTTATCATTGTGTGGGAATGGATGGGGACACAGTGAAGCAGTGCGCCTGCCGACAATTGCAGGCAACCCCCGAATGCTGAAACTGCGCGTGAGCAGCCGACTGGAGGGAACAACGGTCTTTCGACGAGTAAGCGTCAAGGCTTCTGAGAACAAGAAGCTGCGCGACCGCCGCCATGTTCTTGACAAGTGACCCCGCGCCTCCTCCTGCAAGCCTGGTCGCCAGAGTTCAGCGGGCGTCGCCTGACGAACATATTGACATTGATCATGACGGTTGTCACTGATGAGGCGGATGATCAGCAAGATGATGCTGCATGCTTCTGTGCAGATTCCTTCCGTGGCCCTTGTACTTTACATCTGTGGACCGGTGCATGGCGCAGAGTGCCAGCTCGACAGATGTGCAACTGTTTAGGCAGGAGACAACTTTTGCAGAAGCAATGGCCTGAAAGAGAAGGACGCCCCATCGGTAAGGTGCCACTTCCTGAAGCAGACAGGCTTTGCAAATTCAACACTGCCGCACCGCCCCTTCACTCACTTGGCCTACTGAACCTACTGGACGCGAAAACAACAAGCAGCAGGGTTGGATGCATTCTACATTCAGCAGACATAATTATCTGTCTTCAGTTTCGGTGCCGGGAAAAGCCTCCACGCGCACGTTGGGCGTCTCTTCCAGCTGCACACGCTCGTCTGGCGCCCATCCGTCCACTGGGCAGTACCGCGTGTCCTTGCCACGAGCTTTGGGGAGTGGCACTACCATGAAGGGCTGCCGGTTTCCTACAGCTAATCGCCTTCTGCGCTGCAGATGCATTTCAACATGATGTCATCCAGCCTGCGAAAGTAACTCACAGCCTGCAGTCCTTGCTGCTCTTGAAGACGCATGCTTCCTCATATCTGGCATGCGAGGTCGGGAAGTTTCTCCTAACCACAACACTTTGAAAAATGCAGGCAAGAGGCCACTCCTGCCGGACCGGGAGCTGTCTGATACAGTGCCCAGCCATTCTTTTCATCCCACTTAATGAGGAACGGCACACCGTCAGTCTCGGTTGCGGCACAGCGGCAACAACGCTGCACACAGTTCAAAGTCCAAGCTTGATTGATTCAAAGGGCGCACGAAACAGCTGCAAAGCACGAAATGAACCGAACGTGTCTTAGAACTTGGCGAAAGCCTCAGTGCCGCAAACCACAGCTTACTTGCATCCCAGCTGCCCTCTGGTATCGAGGCCTGCCGTGGATTCTGAGGAGTTATGCCGAGGATGAATCTTACAGGCAACGAGCATGCAGCTTCTGATCTGCTCCTTCCAGATCACAAATACTTCTGCACTGCACTGCAGAAAACACCTCACAGTTAGCGACCGCATGATCCAGCGGGTGTCAGAAATTCTGTTGGGCGCGCTTGGATAAAAACATCACAATGGCAAGCTTTCGACCAACGACGCGACTAAGAATCGAGAACAGGAGGAACGCTTTCCGGGACTATCAAATGCTCAGCTTCAATTTCAAGCAGCAAACCGAGCAGAAAATGCAAATCTGCCTGCTCGGGGCAGGAACCACTTCGTCAGGTTGAACCCCAGCGGCAGCGACAGCGGCGGCGACGGCCACGCCACCCGCTGTGGCCTCGGCCTCGGCGGCCTCGGCGGCCTGGCCACCACCCGCCTCGCCGGTTTCGCCGGCGGCCTCGCCACCGGCAGCCTCGCCTGTCTCTGCAGGCATGGCGGCGGCTTCACCCGCCTCCTGAGCAAAGCAAGTTACTGGGGGGTGGGGGGGAGGGGGGAGGGAAAGGTACCGCTTTTCGGCCTCAAAGGTGCTTGCATGCCCCAGCCTCGGCTGGGGGAGGCGGAGGTGGCGGGTCGCTCGGCGCAGCCCCCTGTTTAGATCAGGGCATCGACTTCTGGGATTCTAGTGTTCGGAACCTGGAGCCCAGAACCTCACCCAAAGGTCACTGGCAAACACGTCGCACACTCCTCGCATGGCCTCAGCCGCAGAGCTTGCAGCTGGCGCAGAGGCGGCTTGCCTTGCCGGCTCCGCTGGAGAGCTGGATTGCGCAGCCTCCGGATCTCCATTCGGACGGAGCAAACAGAACGCGGAGCCAAAGTAAACAAAAACAACATGCAAAACAGAGCATGGCCCGGAGAACCAAAACCCCAAAGATCGAGGTGGCTCCGTTTCCTGTTCAGCATCACGCTCGACCCCGAAGAAGAAAGACTGTCATTCTGCAACCGGGGCTGTGCAATGCTGGGGACAGCACAAACGTTTCACGCAAACCCGCAGCCCCAATTTCCTGAAGCACGCAAGCTGAAGTGCGCAACGTTACAATGAACAGTCGCACAGCACCTGAGGCTGGGAGGGCTTGACCTGCGTGTACACGCCATCTGCCGGGCCTCTGAAGCAGCACGTGACTGCTTGCCGAGGATTTCTTGTAAGCCACGACTAATACTAAGACTGAAGCCCAAGACTACCCTCCTTTCGCATCTGGTCTTGCTGGCTCATGGCTCCTGCCTGAACCCACCACGCGCAGTTCCTGAGAACCAAGGGAGGGCGACTGAAAGGCTGCGTTTCTGCATGCAGGAGGAAAGGGGCCGCCCCAGTTCAGCTTGCATCAGCTGCAACCCGAAAGATTGCAGAAAAAAGTGTACCGGACAAGTCAAGACAAGTCTCGTGACAGCAGAGCTCCTTGAACTCGAACTCCAGCGCGAGGAAGGCGTATCTCAAAGCTTCCTGAGTGCAGAATGAGTGTTGCGCCGTTGCCGTTGTCGTTAGTCAGCCCGCTAGCTACATCGAAAGGAGCAGCAAAGCAAAACAAGCCCCACTTCCTTTCACGCGACCTTCCGCCGCACATATCTCGGCTGGGGCTCGGTGGGCATCAGCGACAAAGGCGGCCTGGCATGCAGACGTCGTAACGTGAGCAAAGACCTGAGACTCTCAACTCCTGGCATCAAAGGAAATTGAAAGAGAACCCAAAGGCAAAGGGAATATGGCTTTGGGCTTCCAAATGCCGGACAGGTCGTCATCGAATAAGAAACAGTCTTGCGCCTGCCCTCGTGGTCCAGCGCTGTCACAGCAGCACCATGCTCGATCAGAGGCTGAATGGCGCCGTTGGCTGCCAGGGATGGGTGATGGAAGCTCCACGCAACTCAACGGCCTACCCTTTTGGTCACGTTTCAGCACTGTCACTCAAGCGACCCGGAGAAAAGAAGTTTCGGCACACCTAGGAAGGCTGCCCAGTGTAGGGGAGTGAGGCCGCGAGCATCCGCCAGTGCCGGATCGGCCTAGCGCGTTGGACTTCGATGCGGCGTTTCTCGTGCTAATGAGGGCGATTTGGGCCTCGGCCTCTCTTCTCTGCACCTCTCTGCTGGTCGCTTCTTGGGACTTCAATGCTTGAAAACCCCTGTGTACAACCGGCTTTAAAGCTGCTCTATAGCACCTTCTATAAATTCCTCTACGACATTGAATAAACGCCATGCAGCCCTCTCGATACAAAAACTGATTTTAAACTCTTGTAGAGGTCCTTTCTACAGAAGCTTCGAGAAGCCCCTTTTATGAACAGTTCTAGAAACCTCGATTTCCAGAATGCCTCCCCCGATGGAATCAATGCATTGAAGAGCACGGCCCAAAGTTTTCACTGGCGCGATTCAGAGACATGACGAAGATGCTTCCCCGAAGTACTGACAGGATTCAGGAGCACGGCTAAAATGCCTTTCCCGATGTGCTGGTGGAATTCAGAAACATGATCAACCTGCTTGCCCCAAATACTGGCTACATTCAAGTGTTTCGAAGTGGCACCACTCACAGCGCGAGAACCCGCCGCATCCATCGAGAGGGTTGCTTCAGGATCTGGCGCAATTCAGAAACACGCGCAAGTCGTCGCTGCACCACACGTGCAGCGCATCTCGCATGACCAAAACACTTCCCCCATATGTACTGGCAAGATTCAGATGGGATTTGGGAGCACAGCCAGCATGCTTCTGCCATGTACCGGCGGGATTCAGAGACATGAAGACAATGCTTCCCCTCAAGCACCGAAAGGATTCAGGAGCACTGCTGCCAAAGTTGGATTCAGAAACATCAACTACTGGCGAGATTCAAACATTTTCAAATCGGCCCCGCACACACAGCGTGAGGCCGTAGTGTATGGGAATCTACAACGCATCCAAAGACTTCTCTGGCAGGATCCGGAGCACTGGCAGAATGTTTCCTTCATGTTCAGAAACATGACCAGATGCGGTAAAAGATATTCAATTGGCTCATAAGCTAAGAGATAAGCGGCGACCTCAGAAACCTAATATCCAAACAACATCATCGCATCATACCAGCCATACCATCCAAACCACCTCGACGGAAAACTCTTTTCTACGCTTTCGAAAAATGACAAATGGGTCAGTCTAGTCAATTACATTCACTTCTTTCGTCTCGGTACAAACCCATATAATGGAATTCAACCCCTCTTCCACATTAAATCTCTTTTAACTCCATACATGTCCATTCCATTCCATGCAACGACAAGTCGTCTGGAGCCTGGCCGCGTCTTTAAGACGAGGACCAAAGTCAGAATGAGGAAACTTAGCATACCTGGCTTAGATCCTACTGCCACCCACAGGACCGTTTTTCTCGTGTCGGGGAAAGTTCCAATACCAGGAAGTCTCTGCCTTCCCGTCCAGCAGTTGCCGGACCGACTTCTCACTGCCCGCGACGACGGCGTGGTGGAGTGCAGTCCTTGGGTTTGCTCCATGCCATGTCACAGTTTACCACGCGCTGCTCGGCACAGCTTGTGCGCTGTTGAAAGGATGACTGACCGCGAAGAGGCCTTGACAGCTCTCGGAAGCAATGCCTGACGAAGCTAGATCAACCAATGGTGTACAAGCGATGCTGTTCCTATCTGGAAGAAGGGTGAACCTTGCACACAGCAGCATCCATCGAAATGCGCGATAACTCCACACGATGTAAACACCTTTTGGTCCATTTAGCCCAGGCTCCAGCCATCCATCCTAGTCGTCAGGAAGGACGGGCTCCTTGCACTCACTGCCGGTCCAACGGCCCCCATACAAGCTGTGACCCGTGAAACCCAAGCCTGAAGGTCAACCAACCAGCACCGCGAGCCGAGCCCCAACTCCAAAACCAAGGAAGCGTTGGCGGTGCAACGGTGCACCTCAGCACCTCCGGCGTCCCCTCAGGCAGCGAAGCCGAGGCCTGGAGCGTTTCCACTCGGCCGTCCGTTGAAGTACGTCTTCGCGGATGTGAGTCCAAAATGTCTGATAAGCCACCAAGACCACAATCGGAAACCCAGACAGAGGTCCCCAAGCTTGGAAGCCAAAACTATGCCAAAGCCCGAGCAGATCCTGTACCATTCCAAGCGGCCTCCTCCGCAAGTGGGTCGAAGCCTTCTCGGAACTGCACCAAACGGGGTACCCGCGCACAGTCAATGCCTGCCCCAGGGAAAATGCTGCCAAGTCTTTGGCTTGTCTCCGAAACCGTGCGGTTTGCCCGACAGTCCGACTTCTCAAACCTAAACGAGCGCCTTGCCCGAAAAAACACACAATCATGCCAGCTTGCGCGTCTGAAGTGCTTCAGCTTCTCTCTTTGACTTGCTGTCAAAGGGCAGAGGTCGTAGTCGCAGGGCCAACAAGTCCAGTACACCTCACAAAACTCTTGTGTCAGTCACCGTCGCTGAACTAGACCTTTGTGACAACTTCCGCTTCTAAGGGTTTGGAGACCTCATTCATTGTGGCTAGCTTTTACTCGATGAATGCTGCTGCAGATGCAAACCACTTTTCTCTGGGTCAGGACACTGGGCTGCTGTGGAGCTCCTGCTTTCGGCAGCTGTCGCAATGAGGTCTCCGGTGGCACCGGGCTTTGCAGAGCCTGGATGTGCACATGTCGATACAGCAAAGAGCTCCAATTGTCAATGCTCCAACTTCTCTTCCAAATGAAGGACTTGCTGCACGCTCACCATGACCTCTCTGTTGTTACGCTCAACATGAGACCCTGTGCTACCTTTCAGCGAGCCCGACCTCTCCATGGGATGTCCCCGAGGGCAGAGGACACTCGGAGGCAGTGGCTGCGAGGTGCCTGACCGTTGGAGACTACAGTGTAGGCATTAGCAGTTTCAGCAGAGGAAACGGGCTGAATGCAAACGCTGAGTGCACGTTTCAATTGCGGCTAGCCGAGAGGCCTTCCATGTGCATGAGGAGATCATCGATCGTTTTCCAATCCTGACAACTGCTGCTTGCCAGGCTCTGAGAGACTGGGCAATCAAAGTCAACACCGAAACCCTGAACTCTAAACTGTATATCCATTGCCCACAACCCAAACACGAAGACGTTTGTGAGGGCAACGGCTCGTGGTTTGCAAACGGTTGCCATGACGATTCACCACTATCACCCTACGATTCTTTCGGCGCTGATGCTGCTGTGGCTTCTGTGCGGCTGCTGTGGTGCTGAAGCTATTTGGATCATGATCATGATGGTTACCCGATGACCATGATGAGCATGGCAGAGCTCCTGAGGCTGGCTTCCGACCACTGCCAGCGCCTCGCTGGGGCCGCGGACGCCATCCACCTGGCACCGAGGATTCTCTGAAGGTCAGAACATCAGCCGAGTTTCAGCCGACTGCATCCGGCATCCCTTCGCTCGGGTCCCGGGTCTCGCAACAAAGGGCGACTCGCAGGCGACTCTACTTGGACTTGCGACTCACCTCCGTGTCGGCAGCCAGCAGCCGCTGAAGGAGCTCCTGAACCGCTTGCTTTCTCTGTCGTCGATCCTTTGGGGTCTTTCCCGTGGTCCTCGTTTGGTCCACGGATTTCTGTTTGGACTTGCCAGTGAAATGTCGTCAACTTCAACTTGCTGTCATATCGCACTATTAAGTCTTATTAAGTTCCGCACGGCGTAGGGCTTGGGTTTCTTGGAGCTTTCGTTTGTACAGATGCGGATGTCTACCGCAGGAATGTGGGCAGCTCAGGTGTGGGGTGTAACTTAGGCTGGCAGTCGCAGTTCGACAACCCGCACAAGTAATTTTTTTGTCGCGGCCTGGTCATCTAGAGCTGCCACAAGCATGAGGGCACCTTAGTCAGAGCATTGTGAGCATCCGGATGCTGCGAGACTTGTAGCGACGGCGGGCCTGGACTTTGATGCCAACTTCCCGGAAGAGACTCTGCGAAACTCTAAGTTGTGCCAGAAGGCTGGTACCATCCGCAGCGCTGAGCAACGGCGAAGCACCAAGATCCAGCAGAGCGCGTGCTGCTTCTGCCTGCGGGCAAAAGCCACGGCATGGCTTGAGAAGTTGAGAAGCTCACGGCAAGAGCGGTGAGATACTTCTGCACTAGTGACTGCTGGCGCCTGTGGTCCCACCACTGGCTCTGGCGGCGGTTCACGGGCCTTTTGAAACATGGGGCGTGATTTCAGCGTGCAGAGCCAAAACGTGCCTGGCCTGGTCCTTCAGCGCCAAACGTGGGGTTGCAGCCCGGCGCAGTGCGGCAATCAGCGGCGAGCTGCCACTGGGGCCGGCCTTTTTGCGGTTTCTGCTTCGGGCATTGTCTTTCCAGGGTTCGTTGGGAGCTTGGAAGCATAGCAAGGTTCATTGGTTTCCGTGTGAAGTTTGGACATGCCAAAACCCATGATCGTAGTTGATGAAGCTTAACGCAGAGCTGGGCCCCCTTGAAGCCTTGGATTCTGGCTCCTGTGGAAACCATTCATCCAAGGGAGGTGTTTAATGCACGAGCTTTTGTGAGTATGTTTTGGCAGATACTGATGAAAGGATGCAACTCCGGGTTTCGCATGGCTCAGACCTTCACACGAATGTTTGGGAAATTGCCTTGACAAACAAGAAATGTATCTGTCGAAAATACACAGCAGTATACCTGGACGCTGTGTTGATGGTCTTCGCAGGCTGACTGAGTACTCCACATGTCGTGAAACCGCACGAGCCACCCTCAAATTCTAGAAGCAACAATCACTCAGGTCAACATCTTCTGTTTCTCGCAGTATCTGCCGATACACAGTGTGCGTCTGATTGCGCACGAAATCCGCTCTCGTGGCGCAGCTAGCTCACGTGCTCACCGTCGAACCCCATCGACAAACACGCGGCCGGCTGCACTGCTGCGTGCTGAAGGCCACACTCTACCACCCTACACCTGGTTCTTGAGCGCTGCCACAGGAGTGGCTTTCACGATGGTCTTCGCCTGCCGGAAAATTGCTGTACTTGTGGTCACCAGTTGCCAACTGCTACAAGGCACCCTTTGTCCGGCCTTCTGTGCCTTGACCTGCACTTCCTGCAACGTCGAGCATACGTAGGCTTTCGGATGCTGCAACTCACTGTCCCCAGACGGTATCTTTGCTTGCTAAGTCGTGCCTTGCCAAACATCATCCGGACACCACCCTTCGTGGCAGGCTTTTGACCTTGCAGCTCGGCCGGCATCCCCCGACATAGGAGTGCCTAGCTGAAGTTTCTCCAATTGCAAGTGCAATGAAAGAATGGTAATAGTCAGCCCAGGCACGAGTCTTGATCATGCACAGCCCTGGCAGAACAAACCTCAGGCGCGCAGTGCAAAGGAGCTCGCCTGGTATCAATCTACAGCAATGGGCTTCCAAAGGCTGTCAAAGTGCTTGCCGGTGGTGGTGACCTCGCTGGCACCGATCTCGGAAAGGTTCTGCAGGACCGACAGGACATCCTTCTTCTTGAGCTCCGACTTGGTGGCGAGCTGGTCGGCAAGCTGGCTCTTGGTCATGGCTTTGGCAGCCTTCATGGCCTTGGACTTCATCGCGGACTTCATTGCTGAAGGCATGTCTTCTTGGTGGATCTGTGGGCGAGTCTCTAAGGCCGGGTGAAAGCTTGAGCCGGGAGATGCCGAGTTTCGACGTGCAGGTGCCCCTGGCCTGTACAAGAAAACTCCTAGAAATAGCCTCGGTTCCTTCAAGCGCCGCCGGCCACCCGCAGCCTTCCGCCCTGCCTTCTGCACGGCCGCCCCCCTCTGCGCCAGCTCCGTGAGCACGGCCGAAGCGCCCGCCACCGCCGCGGCCTCGCTGACGAGAAGAAGCTGTGAAGTCGCTGCGAGGACCCCAAGGTGCGCAGCCCCGCTCTCGTCTTTTCGTCTTTTACTTGACCCTGCACGAGCAGGCCTCCAGTGCAGCCGTCGAAGCATCTCCTCCCGGCGCAGGGCAAGCAGTTCGTGCTGCGGGCTATCAGCTATAAGCCATCGGGTAACGAGATTTGCAGCTGTTCCGGCTCAGAAATGCTCCGAGCTGCTGCAAGGAGGCAGCACGATACTTGAGGAGGTAGATGCATCAAGCGGCCGGATTCGGGGCTCAACATCTACACGAAGCTTCAAGAAATTGAAGTGAGAAGATGTGAGAAGTACACATTTAACCTGAGCGAGACTTCTCCGATCCAAGCATGATTGCAAGACAACCTTTCGATCCGGGTCACAGCAGCATGCTAGCCGCAAGCCCTAGTCCCCTGGTGGAACCTGTGCGTGAAGAAGGCACAGCCCTCCTAAACAAACACCGGGACTTGGCCTTGGCCTGCAAGCCTCGGAACATCGAACCACCTGAACAACGACGCCTGAGGGTCTGTTGCCTCACTGCTCCATCCCGCCTTTGGCATCCAACAGCAGCTTCACAATGTCGCAGTACGCTGCCATACCAGCAGGGGGTCCTTCACGCACCAGAATTCTCAACCACCAGCAGGAGATGCCTGCTCTCGCCTCGCCCCCTCGTCAACTTTCACAGCGCGCAAATGATCTCAGAATCAGCAGTGCTTTGCGGTGTGCGGGGTGGATTGGTAATGATTTCGTTGTTGCCCCATCTTCAATTCTGGAAACTGCCGAGGCTTGAACACCCTCTCCACTGCAGGGTCCGTCTTCCAAACTCAGGGTTTGGCTTGTCAGCCCCCTGATAAAAATCGTTGACGTGGTACAACATGGTGAACTTTTCAAAGGTTGGTGTCCGATGTGAGGTGATAAGCTATAAACGACAACTTGGACTTGGCGATGTCACCCTGGGGATGGTAATCACTCCTGCCCCAACTCCAACAGATTTGCAACCCTGGCTCACGGCAAGCCTGCTCTGCCTTCCATGACGTAGCTCCCGCATCCCGCAGCTAGCACCTGAAGCAGAATCAGGGCACAGCTTCGGGATTCATGGCGCGAGGTCAGAGGCAAAACCGGAGTTGACATGGGCATCGCCCATGATCACGAAAATCATCAGCGCAGCATCTCGCTCGCAAACGATGTGTACAATAAACCCCACACTTCAGCTGGCCAAGGTGCCACCGGCGATGGTACCTCCCCAGGCGGCTCCGGCATAGCTGCAGCCTCCAACAGCTCCTGCAACAAGATTTGTACTGACGAACCAAACCGTCGACTTGAAGCCCCAGGACTCAAGGCCCTGAACTAATTCCACGCTCCTGAACGGCCTTCGGGTGTCCCGCATGGCTCGCCAGTGCTAAAGGTGTGAAGCCCGCTGCGTCCGGGAGCGCCAGGTTTGCGGCGGCCTGGAACTACGAATTTTCTTCGACGGTGCAGATCCCAAGACTTCGCGACTAAAAGCCGGACGTGTTGAGCAGCTGTTGTTTGCATTGCAGTGTCGACGTCTAGGCAAGTGACGCAACTCTAGATTCACCAGGAAGCTCACAACAGCTAAACTGCAGAACTCTTCACCGGCTGGGTGCTGGCCTGGAGGAGAGCTCGAATTACGCCAAGTTCGCCGACCATCGCGGCAACGTGCACGGGCACCTTTATGCAGTCTGCAAAGCTCAACAGCAACCACGACTTCAACAAGTTTAGTTAATGCTCCAGTCCTGAGTAATTGTAAAGAGGCCCGCAGCCGAAGAACCACTGCAGACTTGCAAGGATAGCATGGAATTCGTCAGAATAGAACATCAATAGACAAACACTGTTGGTAGACGCGTTGCACCTGTTTGGTGCTAGGCATCTCCGCATTGAGGTCCGCTTTCAACCTGGAGTTGTGCGACAGATCATTGGTTGGAACCTACCTCTCCGAGAGCTCTCGTTGAATAACAAGGAAAGCGATCGCATCGCATTACATTGCAAACCCACGGCAAACCAATGTACGACTGTCTGTGCCAGTGAACATGAAGTTTTCAAGTCTTAGCATGAGATCAAATCGTTCAACAAACTTGCATTCGGAGTCAGGCGCGAGTGCAATTTGACGTGTATTTCGAAAGATAACTTGCAATCTTTGGTATGGACCGTTAATCGTGGCTAAGCTAGGAAGCGTGCGAAAATCCTCCCCCTCGCAGCAGTCGGGGCGCTTGAAGGGTCAGGCTAACACTGCCCGAGGTTGTTTTCCAATTTCCATCCCCTGTGTTGACTTTCTGCCTTGTCACTTCCACATGAGTGGCCCCGAGCAGGTGATACGGTAAAGTGTGAATCCCGCTGTGATTCTGCAGCCTGCAGCCGTGCTGAATTGGCAACTTCTGCCTGCTGGGTTCGGAGAACCCTCCTGTGACCGAGGAGAGGACATCACAACGTGTTTGTCTCTCTCTTTCTTTCACCAGGCCTGCGGCATCTCTCTCTCTCTCTCTCTCTCTCTTCGCTTCGCTTCGCTTCACAGGGGTCAGGCTTCGGCTGAAGCCCGCGCCAAGGCGCCCCCTTTCCCCTTTGTTTGGTAGGAAGAGGCTTTGGGGCAGCTGTGCTCGGGGATTTTTCCCCCACGGTCTGTGCGAAAGGAAGCGTCTGCCTGTCGGTGACCCCCAAACCCTGTACTCTAGCGCGCTTCCCGGCCTCATCGCCGCGCTCTCTATAGCTCAATCCTTAAACCCTCGACAGGCAGATACCCCCAGTAGTACCTACGGACGGCGATCGCTCCCCTCACTGCGAAACAACAACAACTGTACTAAGACGCCGACTGTTTGTGCTGGGAGCTTTGGGGACAGTACTGTGCAGACAGCTTGCCAAGTATAGTAAAGAATATGTTCCCCCTGCGCCGCTCTCTCTCTCTCTCTCTCTCTCGCTCGCTCGCTCGCTCGCTCGCTCGCTGCTGGGGCCGCAAGGACCCGGGCCGAGGCCCCCCCCCTTTCCTTCCTTGTTTGTGGAAGAGGGGCATTGGGGTCACCGGCGAGGGGTTTTCCCCCACGGACGGTGTGAAATGTAGGGAACGTCCGGTGTGTACTCCCCTTAAACCTTGAACACCAGCCCGCTTCCCGGCCTCGTCTCTGCGCCCTCTAAGGCAAAGTCCTCAGACCCTCACCGGACACAATCCCCCCATGGCAGCGACTCCGTTCCCCCGTTTTGCAAACCAGCAGTACAGCTAAGGTGCAGGCCAATAATTTCAGAATCGAGAACACTTCTGGGGTGGACGGACTTCGCTTTCGGGCTAGTATGAGTTGCCGTTCCCTGTTCTGGTTAGTTCAGCAACACCGAAACACAAACCGTGCAGGTAACGAGTACAGCTGGGGTTCCAGCGAGAGTTATACTAGAGTGAGGCGGAAGGACGCTGGTTCCCCCGTTAGCATCAACCATAAAGAAATGTAACAACCACGGCGGGTGCTCCAGCAGGTGTTCTCACTCAGGAAGGACACGAATTCGGCATTGGGTTCCCTTTCGAAAAGCATAGTGTATTGCAGCAGTGCATTGAAAAAAAGGAGGCAGAGTGGCTCCCCCAGTATGTGGCGGTTCTGGCTCAGCGGCCCGTCAGAATTATGAATTTGCTTGGTTTGCAAGCGGCTTGAGAACACCATGGGAATGGGAGTGAGCGGAACACGAGACACACCTATCAAAGGCCCTTCCGAAACACACTTCCCCCCCTCGCTCCCTCAAAACTTTTTACCCGCACATCCTCTCACTTTGTTCATCGTCTTTGTTCACGGCTGGCCCTCATGTGCAGCTGGATTTGCTGCACCGCACCCCAACTCGGGTTGCTCTATCTCTCTCTCTTGCTCTTTCTCTCTGGCTTTGGCAGAAACTGTAGGCGATGCATGCTTTAACGTGTGATGCCCTGTGCCTGGTGCCCATCGAGTGACTTGGCATGCGGCAAGAAGCTTGCAACCGATCCAATGCGAGACACAGCACTGAAAGCTCGCACATACACCCGCATACCTACTTTTCGACTACGAATGCGGCAGCGATGGCGACTACGACTGTGACCGTGACGACTACTACGACAACAACCACTGCCACACAACTTGCAACTCGCTGAAGTTGCTCCTAATGGTGCTGCCTCTGCCGCTATCCCTGCTACTGTTACGATTGCCAGCACGGCAACCATCACCACGACGACGACTGCTACTACTACTACTACTCCTCCTCCTCCTCCTCCTGCTGCTGCTACTACTGCTACGACTACTTTGTACTTGGGTTTTAAGGATGGGCTAGCCAACATGCCGCTCTTCACTTTTGCCCAGCCGCGTAATCTAAACACCCGCAAATGCCAATCAAACACAGAGGGCGGTATCTCGGCACGTCACGAACTTCACTTATTCCAGAAAGTTTGGGCAGGGTCGGCGAGAACAGCAATAAGTCCCTTCTTTTCCATGCTGCATCGCTATAAACAGCCGCTTGTCGAGTGCTCGAGTTTGCTTTGCTTGTGCTGGAAATGCCACTACAATCAACCGCAAAAACTTAACCAAAAGTAAGCATTGATGAATGTCACTCGACGCGTCAAAGAAAGGCCGCAGTTCGAAACAAGAATGCAAACCTGCTGCAATGCAGAATGCCGAGGCCCAGACTCTAGCAGCCGCTCGACGACCCCTCCCAAGCCCAGTTGCGTGGCCAGCAGCAAAGGGGTTGCTGCCTTTGAAGATGACCAGGGCGCAAAACCGACGACATCGTCAACAATGATAATATAATGTCAAGCGCCGGCAGCAGCACCACCAGCAGCAGCACCACCACCAGCAACAACAACACCCGCAACAAAATCATAAATGCTGCTGCTGCTGCTGTCGCTACGGCGCTGCGCTGTCGCTGTGTTTTGCTGGGGCTGGTAATGATGCCTATTACGCCTACCACTCACTGCCCTACTACTCCCCTACTACTCCCGTACCACTCCCCTACTACTCCTACTACTCCTACTTCTCCTACTCCTAAAACTCCTGCTACTCCTACTACTCCTACCACTCCTACTACTCCTACTACTCCTATACTACTCCTACTACTCCCACTCCAAGTCCCAGTCCAACTCCAACAACTATCTGTCCTATCTCTGTGCCGACCCCACCCTCGCCTAAGCCCAAGCCCAAGATGGCCCAAGCCCACGCCCACGCTCCCAGGACCCACCCACCCACCCACCCACGCCCACGGCACTTTCACTGCACTTTCACGGCACGCCCGCGGCACGCCCACGGCACGCCGGCATGCCCACGGCATGCCCACGGCACGCCCACGGCACGCCTACGGCATGCCCACGGCACTCCCACGGCACTCCCACGCCCACTCCCACGCCGGCAAAGAGCTCTACGAGCAAAGTGTGACAGCGGCAAAGAGCTATACGAGCAAAGTGTGACAGCGGCAAAGAGCTATACGAGCAAAGTGTGACAGCGGCAAAGAGCTATACAAGCAAAGTGTGACAGCGGCAAAGGGCTATACGAGCAAAGTGTGACAGCGGACCACGGCGACGACGACGACAAGAACTGCTCATCATTGCTCAGAACGAGTCATCGTCGTGGTGCTGGCTGTCGCTCATCATTTTCAGCATTGTCATCCTCTTCATCATCCCGACGCTCTTCTTCATCCTATAGTCGCTGCCGCTCTGGGCTCTGCTTCCAGTCATTCAGTGATCTTCATACCATACATGTTTGCGGGCTTTCGATTCCAACAAGGCGGATCGATGAATTCTAGTTGTTCATGGAATGCAAACCAATCACAGATACCCTCAAGTCACATCGCATTTCAGAAGGTCGTACACGAGAATCAGCAGCCTGTCCAGCCCGCGCGATCCACTGGATGACGGGCGCAGGGGGCGGTGATGGGCCGTCCTTCGCCGAGGTCGGGTTCAGCGTCGAATCGGGTTCAGCGTCGAAGATGCCAGCATTTCGGCCGACCCTTCCCCAAAGGCCACCCAGCCCAAAGGCTGAAATCGAAGCCCTTCATCCACCTTTTAAAGCGTCTAGCTTGGACGTTACCTTAGTCTGCAGTAGACCTTTATAAGAACTAGTGTGGTGGGGAACCTCACGGCGGCCGCCGCTGAGCGTCCACTGACCGGTGGGCGGCTCGGTGAGGTCCTGACCAGGCTGAGGCTGACGGGTTGGGGAAAAAGGGAGGGGTTTTGAAGAAATCTCAGAAAGCCCCCCTCAATCTGAAATGAGGAGATCAGAGGCTATGAAAAAGTAGGAACAGCTACGAGTAGACTCCTGCAGATCACTGCCCCTGAATGGTCTTACACACTGATGTCGGCAGGCCCCTGGAAGAATGTCATACTTTGCTGCTGGAGCCCTGGTATGCCCTGGTGGTTCCGGACTCCTCATGGGGTGCCGGAGCTGAGTAGATGAAGCGCTCCTGGAGGGCGGTTTCGACACAAGTCGTCCAAAGTCCAATTCCTTTCGTCAAAGGATCGTTGGGCAAGCGAGCAACGCCCTACTCAATTCACTCCACGGGGTCTGTGCTCGGTAGCCCCATCTGATTCCCAGTCTGCAACTCCTAGCAGCTAGCAAGCTTCTCTGCCTGGCGAGCATGCAACCTTTCCCTTGCCTTGCTTGCTCCAGGTTTGGCGGTCCCAGCTCGGTTCTCTCCGTCCGTCACCCCAACAGGCTTGTTTATGAGCAGGGAGCTTGGCAACTCATGTCCCCCATTGAAAGTTGCCTCGGAAGAGGTTGAACTTTATCTCTCTCTTGCTGGCTTGCTTGCTTGTTTGCTTGTTCGCTTTCTTTCATTTCGTTCCTCTTTTGTTCTCCTGTTTGGGTGTCTGAGATGCAGGCAATCCCTGCACCCGGGCCCGTCGCGCTTCAACGGTGTCAGCAGATGGGCTGGGCACAAAGACTCCCAAGAAGGGCTCTTGTTCCTCCACCCCGAAGGACTGTCAGAGTTGAAGGCCTGTCCTCCGTCTCCTCCATGTTCGCTCGGGACAGGGCAATCTTCCACCATCCCTTGCAATACCTGAGCTGCCGTGAAGAACCCCAAGTCGCAATGGATCTTCAAGCATCCGGTTCCTAGCAGATCATGGTGCAGACGGTGCAGTCAAAGCACACCACTGCCCCAAACAGGTTTTCGTACAGCGGCCGCCCACAATACTCTCCCACCTGAGATGTATCAAATTCACTTTTTCAGAAACCGACTTCGAATAGGACTGCCGGCAGTCGGCCTGTTGGTAAGGCCCGTTCACTTTTTCACTTCCAGCCTGGCCAGGCTCGGTTAGAATCGGCTCCGAGCGAACGCGGCTCCATCGAACCGTGCCTTCGAGACCAGCAGGCCCGAATGCGCGGTGCGCGCTTCGATGTCCGCCCGGTGTTCGACAAGCATGGATATGATGTCCTTTGGAACTCCACAGAGTGTCTGCAACCGCGTGCTTGCCCTCGTTCTGCCAAGTCTCTGTGTTCCCAGCCTGTACTGCTGTGAGAAGTCCAGTCAGATCCATGCCTGAGCGGCCACAGTACCGGCACACACCATCGCACACCCAAACACGGAACAGCCAGACCGAAACTGCTCTATTCAGTTGAGAAACAATTTCGCAGATCAGCGACATCCGGAATTTCAGGAATGCGTAGCAGCTCCTCCACCTCGGTAGACCAGTAGACGGTATGCAAGTTTCCGGAATATCTGGCCGGCGACTTCCTGCACGTGTACTTTCTGCCTAGTTATGCAAGATGAGCAACGCAGGCAATGTGGTGTCCCTCAATCGCCGCTCCTGCCAAATGTGATGGCAGTTGTCCCGCGTCATCGCTACACCAAGATACAGATAATGCATGCACAGTGCACTGGATCACTGAGCACTTGAAGGCCTCAATCTTTCATCTGCCGCCGTCCTAGTGCGTCTGCGCAGAGGGCGGCGCTGTTTGAGTCGAGCACACCCTGCTCTGCTGAAAGCAGCTTCCTGTCGCACATGGTGTCTAGCTGCTAGGTATCTGAGTTGGCAGGGGTTGGGACACATATTCATAGCTCCTGCATTCTAGGGGGCATTCTTCTTGTGAGGGCATCTCGTTGAATGCAGGCAGACTCATCAAGCCAGAACAGGACGATCTGCGCGTCTCTACGCCGTCCGCACCAGCCTAAGCACCGCTGCGTGGCCCTGCCCAGAAGCCATTTGTAAGGCAGAAGTTCCTGGACCAAAGCCGGCCTCGGAAAGCGAAGCTAACAGCGGCGGCCTGTCTGGCAGACCCCATCTTGCTAAGGAACGGAAGTTGTCTTCCACGGGTCGGCAGAGAGTTTCAAGAGTTCCTCCACCGTGTCCTGTCAGGGGCATCTGCCTCCGGTGACTACGGTATGGAGAGCATCTCTACCCAACACTCAAGGCTACAAAATCACGGCGACTGTCTGCACACACACACACACACACGAACATACTCCTCTAATCCAAGCTCGCTGGCCATCATGAGCAGTGTAGCCCCCTTCCTGGTCTTGAAAAATGAAATGATATGAATATGAAGCGCTTGCCAGAAAAGTGTAGAGAGTCCAAGTATGAACAGTTTCCAAGGTTTTCGACTGAGACATGTTGCAGGAACGCTCAACCTCTCGAAAGTCGCCAAGTGTCGTGTTGGGCAGCGGAGAGTCTGGCCCAACCATATTCTTGAGCTTTAGAAGCTCAGTCACCCCTGAGATGGGCACTAGGCTCTTGGTATTCGTTCAGCTTCCGCTGACAAGGTACATGGCTAGAGGACTGCCCGTGATCAAACGCAGCTCCTCGCTAAGACTGCACCCCAACCCTTGCAGCTTCACTCGAGCTGGCAGCAGCCACAATCCGACCAAAGCGTCAGACTCTAGGGCTGTGATGGTCAACCCTCCAAAACAGACCATCCTAACCAAATCCTCCGACTCTGATGTGCCTGGTGCCCGGAACTGGTCCAGGAAATTACGCAGACGGGTGAGGAAGCCATCCTGAAAGGGAAATGTGAGTCATGTCAGGAGCTTCAGGAGTTTGGAGGGCCTATGGTGGAGATTGTACACAGGGTTCAATTCTGGAGGACTTCGGACATGAGCCGCGGGAATACTCATCTCACAGAAAACGAGTCTGCAAACCCCGAAGCTGAACTACTTGACATGGAGTGCCTTTGCCCCCCGTTTCCAGAGCATCAGAAACGCCAGGGTCCTGCCGTCGCTCGATGACATCCCAGACTTCACTAGCCACCTCCGAGATTCTGTTTTGCACCTCGCGGCTCGGCGGCTCGCCATGTTTATGTCTGTCGTTCTCCTTGCTTGCACGCATTTGCACTCGTAAGGAAACCCGTCAAGCCTGGCCAAATGCCGGCTGCCGACTCAAAAGCGCTCCGAACGACCCGACTGTGCCTCGTCCTGGAAAAAACGAATCACTTGGGTCTCCAACCTGAGTTGTCGGCGACTATCGGACCAGTACATTACACTGTCCTGTTGTAGGTGCAACCCGACGCCAGTCAATGGCCCTAATAGCAACAGCAATATTTTGAAGACCAGAACGGTGGTGACCAACGGGACCGTCAGGAAGCCAAATGAAACGGGAACAAAGCATTCGGAAGGGCAGGCAAACGATCCCATGCTGGACTATGTAAGCATCAGGAACCTTTTACACAAAGTCAAGAGGCATCTTGTTGACGTGGAGCTCGAAGCCCTCTCCAGATTGCTGCCCCCCTTTTCCATCCTGGTCCTGAAGACGCTCAAGATTTAGGCTTCAATCGACACCTGTTCGAAGCACCTTGGTTTCTCAGGTGCTGCCAGGTCTCCCTCAGGGACGTCTGGAAAAGTGGTTCTGCTGTCCGAAGTTGCCTAGCAGCCAACAGTCGTCAACAGGTCGTGCTTGGCATGCTTGGTTCACTGAGCAAAGAAACCCACTTCAGATTGAAGACTTGGACACCAGCATTCAGAAACTTGCTATCCAGACCTAAAGAGAGTATTGTGATATTGCTGTGCACTCAGCAATGAAAGCAGTCCATCCCGCACACCATGGCTCATGACAACTGATCCCTCTCTACATCTGCAGCCTCGGCTTTTTCTCACGGTCCTGCGCTGGGGTGGTGTGAATGATTCAGTCGGTCATCTCGTAACACGCCTCTTTTATCGCAGTGTCAAGGGGCTGTCCTTGAAGTGCAGGATTCGCACACGGCAAACTGGACAGCTGTCGTTTTCCAGAAGCCATGTTTGGATGTGGTGCTTGCAGTAGGTGTGACCTGAGTCCATGACCAGCAGCATGCCAGCCCACTGGCTTCAGACAATTCAAGATCTGTGAGCAAGAGAGCACAAGGCTCAGCACGCGACCACAAGGCAGTGTGACCGGCGACACGACGAGGTCGAAGCAGATGTTGCACTTGAGTTCCTCGTCTGTCTCAACGCGGCCCTCAGGCCCTGCTTGGATGTCAGGCAGATAGAAGATTCGAGCGTCAACCAAGGTTTCAGATACATCCCACTGTGAACTTTCCATCGTATCACATCCCTCTGTTTGGGGAGCGCCAGAAACCTTGCATGGGCATCAAGCCTCCAGCCTTCTTACCAAAAGGTTGGAAATGGAAAGCTCTGGCAGCTATGTCAGCGGCGATATGACCGAACTCCGCCTGCCTTCCTCAATCCGGACCAAATTTGAACCGCTCCTCTCACCACACAGATGACAGACCAAAGCTGTCCTCTCGGTGCGTCTGAGATCTCAGGAGCCTGGGTACACCGCCTCGGGTTGGACAGAGATGGGTTTCACCCCTGACGTACTACACATTCTCGAGGAAATGGTGCACATACCGTTGGGCAGTGATGCAGCCTGATTTCACTTCGTGCGCGTGTGACCAGCTACAAGGTTGGGCCTCATCCATCCATCCTGTTGCAACGAGCAGTGGCAGTGCTGCGTCCCCTCTCCGACATGCCCTCTCCAAAAACAGGAAAACCACAAAGTATCAAAGGATACCCCTTCTTTCCTTTTTTCCATTTCTCTTCGGGGCGCCATCGCGGTCCAGGCCATTCCGCTCGTGGCGCGCCCCGGCCATCAGCTTCTTCATCCTCCCGAAACTTAGGGCAAACGCCGCATGGCTCGACTATCTTGATGTCCCAAAGTCTAGAGCAACGCGAAGTTTTCAGTAGAAAATTGGCCGTGACAATGCAAACAAACGCCTGCACTTTGCAATGGCAGTGCGTTCCGCTGGTGCTGTCTGTTACAGGTCTTGCCGCCGACTCAGTACGAAAACTGTAGAAGCCGTGCTTCGTACGAGTCGGAGCACAAGCCGCTTCGAATCGAATGACATGTATGATTTCGAGTTTGCCGTAGATTTAGAGCTTCAGGCCTGTAGCGTGTATACAGAAAGATGGAAGTATCAACACAAGCGCATAAACATTAAGGGACAACACGCAAGTATGCGAGGTGCGATGTCAAGCAGAATGCACCGCCACGACATTCAACCTGAACATCACCACAAGAAGGCTTAGGATTTGCCGAATCAGGAATATCTAGCGAAAACTTTGCGAACATAAATCAATGACCTCATGACTGGAGAGCTCCTCCGGATCTGCGAATCCATCGCAATGTCCAGGTTCAACTGCTGTCCTGTACAGCAGGATTGAAGCTGCCTTGCAGCTCGTTGAAACCCTCAGCTGTAACAGAGGAAGTCTCAAAACTCCGGAAAACCAGGAACTCCTATCCTTGCATCCGAAGCCCAAGAGAAACATCCAGACATCTCTAGGCTCTCTGCCCTGCCGAATCGCCCTCTGTCCTGACGGAAAGGGTCGCTGGCACACCGGACAGTTGGGCCGGAGCGTCATGGGCAGATTCTCCTCGGGTGTCTTCCCTTGTGACTTCAGCTTGGAAACCAAACCCGGTTCAAGGACCTAGAACTGGAAAAGAACAACTGCCTCGCTTGTCACTTTCTCGACAAGCCCAGTTGTTGAGACCGTTGTCCTTGCTGTCTTTAACTTTTAGCATCCGATCTCTCGGACGAAACCGGGCAAATACAACTTCCACGGATGACTAAGTGCCCGGAGTAAGTTTGGCACAAGCAAGCTACTACAGCCATTGAAAGCCCAAGGGACCGTATCCAGATCCTGGAGTGCCGCATGCCAAAGCTTTTCCTCGGACATAAAGAACCTGAGCTCACATGTGCAAGCAAGAGGTTCGTCGAAAGGCCGAGTTTTGCCAAGATTCCAATAACGCATGAACAGTTCATATTGCTGTCCTAGAATGCCGATGGGGACTCCCGAAACATGTGAAAACGATTTGTTGATATTCTAGCCGCGGTACCAGGTGAATGCCTCTCTAATGTTTCACACCTTGCTTCTGAGCATCGACTGGAAAACCGCCAAGGGACACATCCACCTTTCCATCCAGATGAACCTGCTGTACAATGCCTGCCAAGTTCGGTCAAGGTTGCAGCATCACCTCGCATAGTTCTATATTCTCAAGGCGAACGCTCTGAACAATCTCGTTCCTGAAATAGACATAAGTAGACCAGGCTGTGGACCCACTTGCCTACATCGCTACTCGCGATGCGTCCCCAGCCATAGGCAGGGTCCTCACAGGAACATGGAAGTGACAACGTGCACTGATGCCGCCGGGCCAGCGCCAGCAGTGCTGCAGTCCTTTCCAGGCGGTGGGTTCACCCGGACGCGCACGCCTGAGCGGGGGCAAAGAGAGCTTGGCTTGGAATGCTTGCGTTTCGGAACGGAACGCGGGAACGGTTGACGGCACCCGGCCTGGCTGGATTCGCTCGGCGCTGGGCGCTGCGTCCAACATGTCTCCAGGGATCGGGGGCACGGCCAAGCTCTTTGGAAGGCAAACGAAATACCTCCGGCGGCAGAGTCTCTTTCGTGCAAAGCCCTAACCGCCCCATAACCGAGAAACCGAAACCTCAAGCACCACCCTTTCAGAAGCCCAAGCCAAGCAAACACACAAAACTCGGACAAGATCCCCCGATCAGCACCCAACCCCGCAACCCCCCCTGCCGCAACAAACCGTTGCGACCTCGAAGCCTCGAACACTCAATCAAGCTTGAGGTACTGCAACTCGCGCGATCCATCTTCCTTGATGTGGAAGACTTGGTCGCATATCAAGCCTTTCACAGGTTCGGGCTCGGGCTGGGGAAGCGCTGCACCTCGCTTGGATCTGGGCTGCTTACGCACCGTCTTTGCACATGCCGGGTCCCGACCCCCCTCCTCCCGAAAAAAAGAGACACATCAGTTGACTCTCCCGATTGACAGTGTCTCTGAAGTCCAATGCCTGCTCTGAACCCTTGCCGGTGGCCTATGCAGGAGGGATCTATGGTGCTCGGTAAGACCGACCTGCATGGAGCTTGGCTGACGTGGGATACCTCGGAATCCTTGTGGTTTCGGGTGGCGACCAGCTGAAAAGCACCCAGCAGCCGGCATGCCCAGGCTGAATGAAGCACGCTGAAGGACGAAGCACTGGGAATCATGAGTCCGGGCCATGGCACGGGAAGCACGGCACGTGCCTCGCAGTATCTCGGAACCGAACACGGCTCCCGCGAGCTAGGCTACCGGTCCAGCTTGTTGGCACCTGCAAGAGATGATCTGCAGCATTGCTCACGAGAACTCGCAGTCTGGCCTCCATGCTAGCGTCCTTCAAAGGCTCGCTCGAACCTGGCAGCTGAATGCCGAAGAAGCACTGGTGTTCAATGATGTGCAAAGAACGACGTCTGTCTCTGCCTTCCTCCACCGTGGCGACGAGGCCAGACTCCTCTAGCCTCGCGAGAACCCAGCAAGGGGGGCATCTGGCGAAGATGCTCTCGGTGCTGAAGAGACTTGTCACTTGTACCACCACTGAAACATACGTCTCTCAGCACAAGCAATGCCTGCTTTCCAGTCGATGACATTTACTAAGATGAGTCAAGCTCTGGCCATGACCTCTTCGCCACCTTCGAAGCCTCCGTGAACTCCTGTTCGCGGCAGAGCTCGGCCTTGCCTGGCTCAGAGAGTCGGTTGCAATATGTGTGTGAAACTGTGTGAAGTGTGAGGCTCTTGGCTTGCGGTCTTCGACTGGATCTTCGATGTCTCACAGCTTCTGCAGTGGAGCTTATTCCCTGGGCCTGGCCTGCGGGCAGGGACGCTTGGAGGTGCTGCACCATTTGTTCCTCACCAGCCCAGCCTCTTCAGGGAAAGATTTCTAAGACGAATCGGTCAAGCTGAGTGTCGGCTGCAGTGTTGCAAACATCTCCAGTGCAGTCTCGAATGGGCTCTGTCCTTAAAACCGTGCCGCCTGAAACCAAAACTCAAGTCGTCAACCATCAAAGCCTAAGCCAACCCCAAACTTGACCAAATGATTCTCACCTCGCTGCGGCCAGGACCAGCCCTCGCCCTGTGGGGCGATGGCCTGCAACGCTTCAACTCGTGCTCGCCCCATACTACGATCCTCGTCCGGGAATCGTGCGTTCAACCCGACGCAGCTCAATTCCTGCTCCTGTGCATCGGAATTCCGATTAGCGGCCTGTGAGAGTCGTGCGCTATTGGTTTTGGGGATCGGCATTAATGTGTTTGAGGTCACCTCTGTATCAGGGAAGCTTGACGAATCTTTACTTTACAGGGCCCACCCTTGATGCAAAGAACCATCTTGCAGAAAAGAAGCTGGAATAATGAGCGACCGAAGTTGCTCCTGTGCTTGGTTTGGGCTCGGAGGCTTTGCATTCCACTCCAGGACCTAAACGAGCCAAACGCCCAAATCTTTGGCGTGCCAAGGTCAAGGTCCAGCCGGGTCCTGGTAGACCATCTGCACCTAATGAAAGCGCCCCTACGCAGATCTCAAAAAGGTCAAGCTGGTGAGTCATGGACTCACGGACACGCCCAAGGGGTCGATGTTCGACACATTCGCCGCTCTAAACCAAGTGAAACTCTGTGTGCGGCAAGGCACTGGTACACCCGCGGCGAAGATGTCCGCGTCGACATGCAAGACTACCTGAATGAAGGAACAAGGGTGGCGGCCAAGTCTTGATCGTGTCGCATGCAGGATAGGTACTGCCCACATGAGACATGCAACACATGAAAATCACCACCACTATCCTCCACCCACAAAGTTACATCATGGTACCAGACAGTGCAAGTACAGCCCACTTCCTGAAGTAAAAAACGCTTCTGACCGTGGCACACGATATCTGGGCTTCTGCTGCGGGACCTCCGGCCAGAGTGAAGACGAGTCTGAGGGGAAATGGTTCGCCCAACGTGTACAAGTTTCCAGGCCTGAACGCTACATCACCACATGCACTTCACAACAGCGTGGCTGAAATGCGGGCCTTCGGCGCAGGAAGCCTCGAGCAAAACCCTTCATGGTCTATTCTACGTCTCACGAAGACATGCAAACAACTTGGCGACGCAATCTGCCTGACAGACTCAGCACACTCCCTGTGGCGGTCGGATGCTTTTGGAAGACTACATACCGACATATAGTTTCACTGCGCGCCGAGCTGCGTCTCGAACAGCTGCTCCAGGTACCTGGGTCGAGCTGCTCTGGCACGTTAACAGCCAAGCCTGACTAAAGCAGAAGGGAACAATGACGGGTCAAGGTGCTGCAGCGCGCTCGCCGCGCGCTCTGCGAGGTTCGCAACCTCGGCTGTGTCTCGCATCGTAGCTTCGGAGAAGCGCTGTGGCTGCGTCAACACACAGGGCTGAAAAGTCATCTCTGTCGATAGCCACTAGATTGAACAGCGTTGCACCACCCTGTCGGCCCCAGTGCATGGACATGCACGTATCAACTTCCCGAACCCACAGAAACCAGGACCAGAAAACCCAATGGCAACACCACTCCAACTTCCGACGAGCGCCCTCGTCTTTGGTCTTAGCCGAAGCAACCCCTGTCGCAGCACCGAAGACGTGGACAGTCCGGTCTGCTGCATGGCCTGACACCGAGAGACTGTGGTGCCCTGGTGGTTCCCTGGTCTGGGGCATCAAAATGCTCAAGGCGCCGACATGCGCCGAAGCCCTTCGGTGTTCTAGGCTCGACTCTCCGAGCTCTTGCAGAAGTCACCCTTCCGAAGTCCGACATTCTCATCTCCGAGGCTTGCAGGCCAAGCCACGGACACACTGAAGGCCAACAGCCCGGAGCATTGCAAAGGCGCCGAAGCTGTTGATGAAGGGTCCGCATTCCTCCGATAGATGCGGGCTGACAGGAGGTTGATGGCCATTGATGCTAGCTGCCAGCTCTCACATACTCTCACGCGTGGAAGTCGTGAAGGCTGGGGCCCGGTCTCTGCTGGTCAAAACGACCTGCAGCTCGGAAGGTTCCGAGCCTCGGAGGGGACTACAACTCTACGACCACTTCTCTCTGCGACTCCATCGGAAAAGGAAAGCAGAAGGATCGTGGGCTGCCGACAGTCCCGCACCTGCAGAAGGATAGCGTGCAACCTCGGAAGCTGCTGTTGCAAGCACAGCAAATGTGAGTACCTTAAACATGCTGTGCCATCGCCGGCCTTGGAAGACGTCCTACCGACAAGAGCCAATGCCAGGGCCGGAACTGGGCCAGCACGTCTTCGGTGGCTTTGCCATCCTCAAGCCGCGGAATCCAAGCCCCATCCAGGAAAACTGCTCCCTCGAAGCGGTCTTTCTGGAGCGGAACCTTGAGTCTCTGTGCGGCATCTTCGATCATGTCGCGGGTCTCGTCGACTGCCTGCAAACAACGTTTTCAAGCCCTGAAACTCTATGATTCCGCACTCTCCCAACCATCATATGCCTCGAGTTCGTTGATGAAACCGCTCCATGCACCTCCCACGGGCTTGGGACTTCGGAGTCGCTGTTTGGTTCGTGCATCAGAAGAGTCTACGACGACCAAACGTCTTTCGGTCAAACCGAAACTTGCGCAAAGAAACCATCTCTTGCATCAGGTCGCGTACACAGCTCACAAAGGTTTAGAGCACCCACTTAAGACAAGTCTTCAAAATCTCACGCATGTCCAGTCTCCAACAGGCAGAGTATCCCCGCGCTGCCTTCCTTTATGAGGACTCTCACCTGGTTCGACGCTGGCCGTTGGGCCAAATTGGGGATAAGTTTAGAGGCATTGCGGACAGCATGTCGATCCATGGAGTCGAAAGCCTCTGTACTCAACGGCTATGCTTCTGCTTTACTCATGTCAGTCATCGGTCACCATGCGAGCAGAAAAATCTTCGAATGCCTGGCAGCCAGTAACTGTGACGACGGTGCCGGTCCCGTCGACCTGCCCAGCAAAGTGTGGACATTCACACCGCCGCAACCCCCCACCTCCCTTCCTTCCTGCTGATGCAGTATCCGAATATTGATCTTGACAGGCTCAGCTGTTCGATCTCGTACAATCCGCCCAGACTCGAATCCCGACAAACTCCCAGGATCTCTCACGCCTGGAGGAGCCCCCAGCCGCGTTTCGGCGTCACACCGGCACCTGGGACATATGCAGCCTGGAACGCCCGAAAGTCACCCATCTCCGGGCATTTTTTCGAACACGGCGCCGGCCGCCAGAAAGTACATTGAAGCCGGGAGCCGGGCGAATTCGGACGCGGGTTTGCGGTCGAATCTGGTCTGCTACCTGGCAGTGGCGACTCGGCGACTCGTGCAGCCCGCAGTGGTCCCGTACTGCAGACTAGGCTCTGGATCGATCTCCAGCTCATCCTGAGCTTACTGCTTTTTGCAGTCACAGTTGCGGGCGTGGCACTGGATGTTTGGGGAACCCCCTGCAAAGTGTTACAGCGACGGAAGTGGCTGCTATCCTCTATCCTCTCGTAGCGAAGTCTCTCTCTGGCAGTGCCAGCTCGACTGCTCGGCGAAGCTCACCCACGCCTGTGTGTCCTCGTCCTTCAGGACAACACCTTAGACTGAGGTAGGTTTGGTTCGAGAGAGATCTGGGGTATGGTCTCGGACGAAGCCTTCGTATGGCAACCAAGCAGAATCACTGAGATGGGAGCCAACACTGCTGTGAGAGACCTTGGTGGCATCAGAATCATGTCAATGGCAGGGTTCCGACGACGGCGGGAACTTGTAACCCTGACTATGAGAGTTAAGTGCCTTTTTGCAACAGAGTGACCGCTCCCCACTCGAACTTGGGATGTTTCACCTGCACTTGCGGTGCATGGACTAACCCATTAAGCCTTGACCACTCCCCTTGGGCCCTTCTCGCATCTGGCCTCCGGCCGCACGCGCACCGCACGGCCTTCGAGGCCACTGAGCTTCTCGCACATCTCCGCAGCCTAGCAAAGCAAACACGGAGGGAAGCACAGCGACTCATGAGGCGTGATCTGCGACTGCGAACCCACCGCCAACGTGCTCCCCCGGCCTCTTCGAGAGAGCCTTCTCCCACAGCTGCCAGAGCCTCAGTCGTCACCGAAGCTGGGCGGCCGGAACAAAAAGGGGGCCCCAGCCTGGCGCGCGCGCTCCACGGAGAAGCCCCGGTGCACCGTGAGCTCTCGCAGGCGCCCGGCCTGGATCTCCTGGCCGGAGTCCGAGGCTCCCGAAAAAAGCGAGAGACGCGCTTGATGCGCTTCCACAAAACGATCTGCGACTGCAGCCGGGAGACGAGCTCGTTTTGTGAGCCCTGCTCGCCTTGCAAGTGCACCTGTCCGATTCCGAAGCTCGGGGGCGGGCTCTCAGAGCAGCTCTCTTCCCGCGACAACTCCACGCTTGTAGGATGAACACAGACTTCGATCCCGAAAATTCCGAAGACACGCAGACAACATCGTGCCGGCCGATTCCGTGTCTCTAAAGGCATCCGAGACCGGCCTGGCAAAATGAGTGTCCACAGGGTGCATGCACCGCTGATTGGATCAGGTCGCCACAGACACTGCCTCAGCTCTCTCGGAAGAAGCTGACGAACCAAGAAGGCCCACTCCAAGAAGCTGTGCTCGGAAAGGGTAGGAAAGCTGCCGGCCAGCGCAGAGTCAACCATGCGAGCCTGGTTTCAGGCTGAGGTACATTGTAGCTCTCGCAGATGCTCGGGCGGTACCTGGCTGCAAGGCGTGGATGCGGGCAGTGCTGACATGCTTTGCTGCGGTGCGAGCGAGTAGCCAGGGCCACTTCATACCCAGAAGAGGTACGCAGCAAGACCTTAGCTCAGCACGGCGTGGCTTTCTGATGGCAAGAGTGTGCAAGTCTGTTTTCAGCAGTGACAACGAGTGAGTGTTGACCATGCCAGGCCAAGGGACACCTTTGGAAGCGACAGGGGACTTTCCCATCCTCAGCGACACCATAAGATACATATGCCGCCGGAGCGCAACATATCGCAACGTCATCCGCATGGTCATCAAGCACATAATCAAAATGACACAGGGCAATCAACTGAGCCAAGCAACAGCTTGTCCACACTGGTGAACCTCGGAAGTCAAGCAGAGCAGCTTAGTCTCGACCACGAAGAGCTGCACCGACGAGCAGCGGAACAATGGCAATTCTTGAAGAAAGGCTCTAACTCTGGCTACGAAAGAGAGATGTCCAAAGGTATTGCCGCCAGGAGTCTGCACGGTGTGTGACCGGCTCAAGAAATTTATGCCCTTCCCGTCAAAGACGACATTTCCTTCAGCACTGGCGCGGCCAAAGACTTGGGAGACAAAGGGACACGCCAAGCCTTGGCATGCCCTCTGCCTTTCAATGGATTCGGTATCCATCCCCTCTTCCCGGCTGCAATGGGCTGAAGGTTGCAGTCGCAAGCTTCAAGAGATTCGAAGCCTTTCAAACGTCCTCGCGCGCCTGAGGGCACGGAGGCGCTCCGGCAGAGGGGAGGCGCTTCCGGCACATCGTTGTCCGGTTCCATGGCCGAGATACGGCGAAAACAGCCCTCAAAGGGTGGGGCACTGAATTGTCTGATCTTCTGTTGTCTTCGGCTCTGTCGTAAAAAAGCTCACAGCTGGATTGATGACATGTCCCTTTGAAGTGTGCTGTGGATGCCTAGCCCCACCCGCATATCCGTCGTCCGAAGATCCTCCAAACGGTTCGCAGCTTGTCACGCTCATGCCGCAGCCTGTTGCGTGGTTTCCAGCTTAATGACTTCCAGTTGCTGCGACGGCTCTGCCGGAGTGCGTGAAAGGGTGAGGTGTGAATAGCGGCGACCTCATCTAGGCTGCAACACCATTGTTCCAGCTATCCATTCCAAGGGTCCGAGCCGAGAAATGCAGCAGAGACCAATTCCTTCAGCACATGAAGCGGCACATCTGCCAGTAGCAAGCATACACAAACAGTGAGCCATGCAAAGTTCACTTGGCATAGCTCTGACCTTCCAGATCTTGATTGGCTGCAAGATACCCACTCTCCAGGCCCTTGAAGAAGAAAGCGCTGGGGTAATTCGTCTTCCTTGTGTCCACGATCTAAAGGAATCATGTGGTCTCTTGCAGCAATTCTGTCTCGTTTCTGTCCGTTTTTGTTGTACATCTCAAACCAAAGCGTTCAAGAAGAAAGTCCACAACTTCCGCCCATGTCCCACCCACTCCGCACATCCGAAACACATCTGCAACCTCTCTGAGCAGATGGCGCCCAGTCGAGGATTGAGCGTGCCGTCGTGTGCCGCTTGTTGCGCTCAACACGGAGCTCGCCGAGAAAGGAAGAGACCTTTGCTCTGGGGCACAAGTCAGGACATGGCTGAGTGAGGTCTATTCCGGATTCGTTTGAAAGCGCTGAAAGCGATGATAGCAAAGGGAGTCTCAGTTCATCTTTCCACGGACTTAAAGAGCTTCTGGACTGCAAAAATCTCTGGTTACAAACCCTGCAAAGCTCGAGCATATTTTGCAGCAACAAAAGCTTGATCCTCCCAATTGGAATCAGGGCCGCATCGACAGAGAAGCCGATCAGCACCAGGCCAGCAAACGGCGCCTGTGAGTCAAACTGCTTTCTCGACACACCCGCCCCTGCCTAGCAGGGCGATGGCGTGCATTGCAGCAAAGGCGACCGCAGAAACTTGCAACATCAAAAACCTGGAGATGTAGAGGTCCAGGTACTTATTATAACGTGCTCGAGTCCTGACACGTCTTCTCTGGCAAGACAGATCGGATGGGGATGACCGGCTTTGAACGAGCCTCCATTCGTTTAGATTGGTCAGGAGCTCTTGCCGCTCTGATTAACATCGGTTGATCCGACGGAGCTCAGGTAGCACACATATTGTACAAGCTTTTGGCCCATTCCTAGGGATAACAAAACTTGAAAGAACCCTTTCCAATGCGCCTGAATGCCACCTTCTTCCCAACACGACTGCAGCTGAGCCAGGGCTACGTCCCGGCCACCAGCAAAGCCTCAAATGTGGGTGCAACGATTTCCGGCTTGGGGACTAATAGACGTCTGAGGACCTCTAACTTCATCACACCCTTGCAAACCCATGTGCAATGAGCATGAGTTTGAGCGATTTTGACCGGCTCAGGGCAGCCATCTCTGAGGTTTTTCTGGGAGTTCTCTTCAAGGCCTTGGGCTGCACAATCGTGAACAACCCTGCAGATTAAACGATGCAAGTGGGAACTCGTGTTCTGATGTCAATCGAGATTCTGTGAGTCCAATAACATGTACCCGTGTTTCAATGTTCCTCACTCATCAACCCACTCTCTCTCTCTGCAATCCCGTAGCCTGCCAAGGTACACAGCCTGCAAGCCACTAGTCTCATCCGAGCAGCCAGTGGCCCAGCCAGCAGCCTTCATTGCAGTTGGAGGCAGCATAGACACGAACCTGAAGCTGCTGAACGAGGTTTTCGCAACGGAGGATTGTCGAGATGTGTTCGGCTTCAGATGTTGCGGATTCTTAGAACGGCTCTCGGAAAGGATTCCGCTGTTCGGCTTGTTTGAGTCAGTCGAGGTGCAGGTTGAACACTCCGAGGGCCAGAAGTGCAGTGGACCGAACGCAGCAGCGCTCGTGGCCCTCGTAATTCAGTGCCTGCAGCCGGCCGTCGGAGATGACTGAAGAGCAGGGCGTGGCACGCATCGCCACAGCCTGCCTCCACCTCCAAATTCCGCAGCCAAAGCCAGGATCGAAGCACGTGCCACACCTTGAACACTTCATCAGGTTCCCGCACTGCAGTTTCGTCAATTCTCCGAATGCCCTTGGACCCAGAATTCAACAAACAGCATTATGGGCGATGCGCCGACGCAAATTCGGGCCAAGGTTCACCCCGAGAAGGCATACCTTGCATAATCTCGACGACGCCGGCCACAAGATTGCAAAGGCCTCGCAGGCTCGCCGCATCGGATTGTTTTCTCCCTTTCAACTACCACGGACCTCGCCTGGTCAACGCCCGGAAAAACAAGCTTGTCTTTTTTGGCTTGGGAAGTCGCAGGTTATCAGGCGAATGCCGGGTCATGCCTCGCAGCACTGTCTTCCCTGGCCAATCTTCATCTTTGGTGAGTTCCTTGGAATTGCCGTATCGGAGTTTCAGAATAGAAACCGGAGAGGCAGACAGACTCTCCAGTGTTTGACTGCACCTGTCCGAAAACGTCCAAAAAGTGTAACATGAAATATGCTTGTGCATCAATGTGTAAGGAAGATGAGCACGCTTGACACGAAGTACTGACTCCGGGAAACTAATGCCGGACCTCGTCCGCGTTGCGCACGCGTTGGAGGACAATGTCAAGCTGGTTGTTCCTTGTACCAGTAGTGGCATGACTCTGCTTACTGAACTCAACAACTTTCGAGCCCAGTGTCTCGAGCGATGCGAGGCCGTTGAGCAAGCTCATCAAGGCACTTACAAAGGTGAAGCAACCTTTGCGACGAGAGGACGGATAAGCAATACAACCTGAAGCGCTTCACGCTAACACAAGACACGCGGTCTCGGATATGCATGCAAGCCATCTATGGCTCCTGTTTGCGAAACCCTCAAAAGGAGCCTCGCATGTCATGATCTCCCGCATCGAATAGAAAATCACGCTGCGATACGTCTTCAGCAGCCGAGTCTAGGCAGTCCTGTCACACAGATTCGATCAGACAATTGAAACGATGGAATGCCTCTTGTCGATTCAGGCTTGCAGATGAGAGGATGCAGGGGTCTTACGGACATCAATCCCGTTTCTTTTTGCACTACCACTTTCTTCTTCTGATGGCCCCCCAAAACCATGCTTGCTACTAGCCGCTAGCCACAAAGCCACGCGTCCTCGGCGTCTTGCAACCTGTTTGACAGCCTGAGACGACGTTCCCCAAACGCGAATCTTGGTAGCTCACGTGGCGTTGCACACCGAAACTTACCATGAAAGTATGCTCGGTGTGGTGTCCTAGCACAGAGGCTTTTGCAAAAAGTCACCTTGCCAAGAGACGGTTTTCAGGCAGGGATCCAGATGCAACTGTCCAATAAGCCAGCATTAAACAGCCATCGCAACATCTTCCGCGATGGCGCAGCTACCCCCTATATTAGGTCGTTATCCTCATGGGATGGCGACCGACATGATCGGAAGAATAAGCAAACACTTGAAAGATACATGCAACACGTTCGTTCACCATGTGCCTGCACAAGCTCGGGGTGTAGCGCTTCTGTTGGAAGACCGCAAATGGACAACATGCTCCCATGAAATCCCATGCCTCTGCACATCACTCGAGAACTTCCTCTACTTGCCTTGCCAAGTTGCATCAGTTTGATGCTGTCTTCCATTGCAACCATGTCCTGCCACAACTCATAAAATTGAAATCTGGCAACTGCAAAGTTTCCCTGCGTGACAGCCGAGCCAAAGTCCTTGGCCCAACGAGCATGGACCTTCGACAGACATAAGTTGTCGGCTTAATCCAACACTAAATTGCGCGCTGGTGACCGCCAGTCCACGCATGCTCCACTGGATGTTCACAAGGCCACACCTCGGCTTTGGTATCAGCAACCGCCGCCTCTGCAGCAGCTGGAGGCGACTTGTTGCCCATGGCATAATTCATGTTGACTTTACAGGAACGGAATGAAGCAGAACAGTTTTGACTCGCTGCCCTCTATCCACGCGACTGGCCTTATGCGAAGCAAACAACATCCAGACATGGATTTTTGCTGCTTTGAATTTTTAGTATGCCGAGAAAGTTTCCATGATGCAGCGGCGACTTGATGAAGCTTGGAAGTGTTGAGGACGAAAGTGCGGCCATGGCAGCAAGGAGCACCATGTTCTAAAACACCGCACAACATCGGGGAACCTTGTCTCTATTACGATCGGAGTTGCTTGGTTTCGACTTTTCCGGTTCTACTGGCATCCCGAAACGAATTTTTGCGTTGTCGAAATCATACCGAATTCAGACACGTCTGACGAAACTTCTTTCCAGGTTCCTTCTGTTAGAACATGATGCGACAGGAAAAACAGCTTTGCCGACTGTTTTTTTGAAGACATGACGACGCACTACAGCGGGAAACGGCTGCCAAGAAAAGTCGTCCGTCAGAAGAAAGAGTGTTTTTTCCAAGCCGGAGGCTCCAGGCGAAGAGTTTTCCAGTCAGCATGTGCTGTTTTGTTGAGGCCAGGAACTTCAGGCGGGTCGAAACCAGCGAACGTGCCTTCACAAGCCGGTTCCGGATGCAAGACTCTTTCATCCACGCAGCCAGCTCAGCTCCGAACGCAGTCATGACTACACGAATCATGCAAAGCATTGCCAAGATCGCAGGAAATCTGTGGGAAACCCATAGGAAACCCCACGAAACCATCGGAAACCAGACCGGAAACCTTCAGAAACCCTTAAGAGGGAACAAATTCACTCTTGAGGAGCATATCTGTCTAGAATTCATGGGAAACCATAGCAGGCCATAACAAACATGTGGAAAACGCTGGGAAATCACAGGAAACCGCAGGAAACGTGTGGGAAACCCACAGGAAACCACAGGAAACCATCGGAAACCAGACTGGAAAATCGGAAACCCCTATTAGGGGACAGATTCACCCTTTGAGCATTTACAAAAGATTAATGCCAAGGGAAAAGAGGTGAACTGCACCGTCGACAGCACTCCACACTTCATCATCATCCCAGCCGATCGAGTATTATGCTCGTGCCCAAAGGGTGAACAAGTCTTCCGGATCTGTGTTTTGGAGAGCACGCACGGCAAAACAAGAATGTTTTCACATTGCTGATGAACCTAATTGAAATTCTTGTGCAACTGAGGTCTCACGTGCAAACTTCTGTCGGCTTCGTGTGTCTTTTTTCAATTTATATTGACATACTGTGAATAATGCTACACCAATACATCTCCAGATCCTCGTTTTTTTCAATCATCCAACAAGCTTTTGAAATTTGGAGACGCTTAAATCGGAGACCTCAGCCCAAAGGAGACTCCTCCAGCACAAAAGCTTGTTTGGAAGCTTCGATTCTGATCCAATCTGGGGGACTTTTTGCATCTTTGCACTGGACTGTACGACTCTATGCATTTGACTCTGCGCACTGGACTATGCACTTGACTCTATGCATTTCACTGTATGCAGTTCACCTGAAATTGCGGAGAGAAGACGCAGAGTGAAGCACATAGAGTGAAGTACATACAGTCCAATCGATCTCGGCATTGATCTGCAGTTCATAACTATAATTTACACTGTGATTCTGTGGCTCTATGCACTGGATTCTATTTTGGACTCTATCACTTTACATGGCGCAAAACTCTTGGCAAATGATGCTTTCGGGCCTTGTCTTTTTTGGCTTATGCGGGCCTCGTCGACTACGGCTGTAGTACTCGGTCCCTACAAACGAACAAACGACCAAACAACAAAAACAGCGGTGAAACAAGGAACTTAATTAGAGAGGGCGGAGCTAGCTGCGGTGCCCAGGCTTGCCGGGGTTAACCGTTCAGTACTTGCTACGGGTCCTCAGCGATCGTTCCACGACAACAGAGGGCTGTCGCCCAAAGTTGCCCAAGACCGTCAGTGGAGCCCAAGACAAGGCTCCGGCCGCCGGTCGGCCCCGAGGTCCTGTTGTGTCTCGATCGTGCACGCCAAAAAAAATTCCACAAGTCCAAAGTCCAAGGGCCATCGGTAGTGGAGAGACCCGTCGACCTTTGCTGCCGGCGGTCATTTTCGCCAAACTACGCGCACAGGTAGACCAGGCAAGGGAGTAGACTGTGGAAAACTCCTTCTGTGCGTCGAAAGATTGGACCTTGAGCATCCAGTGAGTCCAAGGTCAAAGAGCCTCGCTCCTAGGCAGGGAGCCATTCATCAAGCTTGCGCTGCATGTTTGTTGCCACTTCGTGGAAAGTGGGACTCTCGCAGAAGGTACAGCAATTGAAACTGGCCCGCATCATACAAGGTTTTGAGACGGTGAAAGCCGTAGTGGAGGGTGTCTAGGTCTGGCTCATGAAGGTGCGGCATAAGCTCATTGGAAATGAAAGGCTCGATGAAAGCATGTCCCCACGTGTGTCCGAGACGATACCGCGGTTGGTTGCCGTCGGACAGAACCCCGTGATTAGCTTCCTGTGCCACTAAGTGATTGAGCAGAACTTGAGTCCGACAGTTCCGTGCATCGAAGTGGGCATAGCGCCACAGATGGACAGGGAAGTGGAAGTCCATTTTCCGAGAGCTGCGTAGCCAGAACACAACAACGGCACTGAGCTTCCAACTCCGGGGTGGTCGCAGCCGTGCACTGCGTCTGCAATCCCAAGAGGGCAGGAGACGTAATATGCCAGTGGCCGGGTAGGAAAACATCTGTGGATCGAAATCGCCGCGCCGTGCAGAAAGAAGTCCACGATGAAAGTCTTCCATCATGCGGGCAGCAATCGTGATTTGGAGTTGGCCAACCAGAGAGACCTCCGTCTTAACTCGGATCTTGACAAACTGCAGGTGCAACACGTCCAAGCTGCAAAAGCGGAGCCGCCTTCAGACTCGTCGGTCAGAGCTCTGGCTGATGGAAAACGAGCTCACAGGGACACACTACAGTGGAGAAGTGGCGTGTCTTGCTGCGGATCTGTGTGCGATCTGCCTGCCGCTGCGGATCGCCGGACATGGAGCTGGTGCCACGATGGCATCTGCCGGCCTCGGTAGGATCTCTCCGAGGAGCGAGAGACATTTGGACAAGGCTCGATCGCGGACAGGACTCGATACCGCTTTGGCATTGGGAAGCGAGAAACGGAGTCCATTCAGCTCGTCCAATGGCAACCACCATGTCTCCAAGCGTCCCAACTCACACCACAAAAGATAAAAAAACTCGACGTTCTGGCAGCCGCAGCACCGGGTCAAAAAACTGAGCAAGAGCAATGGAGACTGTCAAAAGATGTGAAACACACCCGAAAAGCCTTACTGGGCGTGCAATGTCTCAGCATAAGTGCACAATCAGCAAAATCCACCATGAAAGCTTACGTCTGTCACTCGCCACATGCCTATGAAGGTTCCACCACACCGAGCTGGGATTCATGGTACGAGGACAGTTATTATACTGACTCCGGTTGGAATTATGCCGCTTACGACGAAAATACGTCTTACACGTACTATGCACATGCCTCAAAACGAAAAGCACGGAAAAAGAAGAGAAAGAACAACAAAGGATCATCAGGTAGAGGCACAGATCCGAGCGCGCACCTTGATACCGTGTACAACTCCTCAGAGAGTTATCTGCCTTTGGCGCATGATGAACGTCAAGGGCCAGGTGTGGAGACTGCAACAGCAGTGTTTCCGTTGCAGCACACCGTCCTATCTGCTCTGACAGAGCGGATCAATCTTGATCGAAGCCCTACCTTTGTCATTCTTGACTCAGGTTGTACAAGGGCTATGGGATCCCGCTATGCGGTGAATCGGCTTATCAAGGCCGTTAAGCAACATGCTCCAGGCATGATTGATTTCACTTTCTCACCTTCAAACACGAAGTTCTCCTTTGCAGATAGTGAAACAGCTCTTATCAAGGAGCGTGTAACCTTATGGTTTAACACAACTCCCAGAAGGGATACTACCATAGAGGTGCTCGATCAAGGTAAAGTCCCCATTCTATTTTCCATTGAACAGATGAGGAATCTTAGAATGACCCTTGAGTGCAGTCCAACCGCGGATCTTGCAACGTGTGAAGCTTTTGGTCTCTACAAGACCCCTCTTCCGATCAGTACCAATAACCATTTGGTGCTGGATCTTCTGAGCTTCACTTCCACAAGGAAGTATAATTCTAATTCCGGTTCTTCTTTTCAAGCCACAGAAACTGCCTTAGGAGCTAAGAAGCCAAAGGAAGAGAGGCGATCTTACACAAAGATCCCGGAAGGTCGCTGTCCAGCTTGCGCAGGACAGAAGAAGCCTCACACTTTCCTTAAGGGATTTGACAAAGCACCGGAAGGTGCAGCAGATCACCCAAGGGCATTCCAGGCAAGAAGAAGGCACCTCCACCAGACCCGGCAGAATCCTCTGCCAGAAGGTCTGATCCACCAGAACCATCTGGTGAGGCACCTGAGCCTGCCGAATCATCGGAACCAGCATCAGGTTCAAGGGACAAACCTCCAGAAGTTTCGGAACCACCCGAACTTCCTTCTGAAGAGAAGCCTGAGCTTCCACCAGGAAGGGTAAAGACTCCAAAAGGTCTCAAGAATCTTCTTAAGAAGAGATACACAGTCAAGCCTCCAGTGGAGGAAAGGTTTGTTGTCCCAGGAGCTGATCACGGGACGGAGGTAGAACCACTTGAGTCAAGAGAATACCCGGCACCTAGGACCGACTCACCATCCGGTGAAAGAGACAATGGAGAAGAGATTGTGCCTGAACCAGCACCCTCTCTTCCGATTGCCCTTCGTAGGATTCATGAGAAGCTCAAGGATCCAGTGGAACTTTACAAGCTTCATCTGAAGCATCGTCACATGAATACAGATCAGTTCAAAAGAAGGACAAAGGCTCTTCAGATTCCAAAGGAAATTTACGAGCTTTATGACCAACTGGTCAAGAAGTGCTCAGCTTGTCAGGAAACGAGCTCCCTCGAGGGCAAAAATATCAGGTCTAAGATCCGAAACCTTCGGGGATCTAACTTTCGTAGACCATGGCGAATTGCCAATTCCTGGCAAGTCTAGTCGACTCATATTTCTCATACTCTATGATGGAGCGACAAATCTCCTGACCTCTGAAGTTGTTCAGGATAAGGAGGAACATACAACCATGCCCATCATGAATGACTATTTTGAGAAATACCAAATCAACCCAAAGGTTGTTGTTGGAGATCAAGCCTTCATGACTCCAAAAATGGAGGCCTATTATAATCGGCAGAACATCAAACCTGTAGCGACAGGCCCTGGCACACCATGGCCTAACAGGGCCGAGGCAGCTGTACGATTGCTGAAACATCAGATCAAGATCATACTTCAGATTCTCAAGGATGGTGATCCAGAGTATAATGGTATCACTATGAAGTATGGCAATTTAGTGCGTCAGGCATGTTTGGCAAGAAACTACTCGATTACATACGGAGGAGTAACTCCTCTTGAGATGGCTTTCGGTAGACGTCCTCGAGATGTTATCACACCCGAGAACGCAGACCCCAATCAGTTAACCGGTAATCCTACCGATACTGAGATCACAGCAAGAGCCATCAAGGAGCTTGCCAACAAGGCCTACCAAGAGGCACGTCAATCTGATGACCTCAGAAGAGATCTCGCGTCTCGACTCTCAATGACCGAAGGACCCTTCTCTTTAGGAGATAAGGTCTATTATTGGT